TTTTCCGGCATTCCCCAGTGAGATGAACCCAGTACCTCAGTTGAAAATGCAGAAATCACCGGTCTTCTGTATCGCTCGCGCTGGGAGTTGGAGACTGGAGCTGTTCCTATTCGGCCATCTTGCTCTGCCCCCCAAGAAAGAGTTTCTTAGAAGCTCTCAGGTGTTGCCAGGCTGCTGGTCCACACTCCGAGTGTGAAAGATACACTACAATCCCCTCATTTCCCACATAGAAATTAGGTGAAGACCGATTATCAGTTCCAAGGTTACAAAATAGAGAATGATAGAAGTTAGATACAGAATTCATATTTAGACTGCCAGTGAAATGCTTTTTTCACTGTGCACACTATTCCATTTTTATAAGTTACATACTATTTAAGTTGCTTGAGCCAAGGCAGACCTGTAGTCATAATCACTATGATTTGCTTTATTCTTTATTAATTGTTTTTCTGGAATGTCTGTACATACATATTTTTTATTTTATTTTTAACTTCTGTTTTTCAAGCATGGTGTAGCTAATGGAGCTTCTCATCCCCCTCCTCTGGAAAGGAGCCCATATTCCAACGTATTCCATGTGGTCGAAGGCTTTGCACTTGTCATTCTCTGTAGCAGTCGACCTGCCACTAGGAAACTAGCCGTCAGTGTCCTTAGAGAAATACGGGCTTTATTTGCACTTTTGGAAATACCTAAGGTAAGATTTAGGTATTTCATTCAGTTATCTAATGAAAGTACTTAAAAACCATCTCTTTGTCCATCCTTATCCCATATAGGTAGGTTACTACCATGGGTCTAAACTAACTTACTGTTCTCAATTGGGAGGCTGAGGCAGGCGGATCACAGGTCGGGAGATGGAGACCATCCTGGCTAACACAGTGAAACCCCGTCTCTACTAAAAATACAAAAAACTAGCCAGATGTGGTGGTGGGTGCCTGTAGTCCCAGCTACTCAGGAGGCTGAGGCAGGAGAGTGGCGTGAACCCAGGAGGCGGAGTTTGCAGTGAGCCGAGATCGCGCCACTGTACTCCATCCTGGGTGATAGAGTGAGACTCTGTCTCAAAATAAATAAATAAATAAATAAAATAGCACTGAAGTGAATTTTCAGTGTTTACTTGGGTTTGGCTACTTTGCTTAAACATTCCTAATTTTTTTAGACATATGATGTCCTTTTTACAGGGTGATGATGAATTAGCCATAGATGTGATGGACAGGCTAAGCCCATCCATTCTTGAGAGCTTCATACATCTCACTGGGGCTGATCAGGTAACTATAATGACTTCATTCTACCCAGTCTTGTTTTGAGACTTAAGACAGACACACATATATATACATGTATACATGCATACATAAAAGAACTTCCTTAACCAATGTAATGTGTTAGAAAGTATTTTTGAAAATTAGAAAATGCTTAAGAATAGTACTTAAAAAGTGACATTTATTTATACTTGGTTAAGTACTCTTCCACATAGGAATAAAAATAATTTTATGTTTGTAAAATTATAATCCTTCCAATCTAAGAAGTTTCTGTTAAATTGAATCTTACTTTATGCTACTGTTTGCTGTTCATTATGGCATATAAGATTCTTGAGATAGAAATACTTGTTAAAATGCTATGGGAAAAAAAATAGTGATACTCAAAGCAAAAACTTATACCCTGCTTTTTTGGCAGCTATTTTTTGTGTATCACATGAGTTTAAGTATAGTGGGTTAAGTACATAGTGTTTTATACCAATGTCATATGTAATTTGACTCATTAAAATGGAGAGAAACACTTTGTCTACAAACACATTACTAAGAAAGTTTATGCAAACTTTCTTACTTGGTCTTCACAGGGTAAAAGGTCATATATTAAGATTCCAAAGTTGATGTAAGAATAGCTATAAAACCTTACTATTTAAAAATTATTTCCTCCTATTTTAGAATACATGGACAAGAGGTTAATGCATAACATTAAGAGCTTTCTGCATAACACCTGATTCTTATAATTCATGAGTTTTATGTAGCCAAGGAAGGTAATAAGATTTTATAAGCCTAGGAGATTATTAGAAATCTGTACAGTTCCCCCCCCCCCATGACGCTACCATGATGCTAAACTTTTTAAAAATTAAATTTTTAATTTTTATTTATTTTTAAATAGACATAATTGTACATATTTATGTGATGCATTTGATGTTTCGATACATGTCTATATTGTATAATGACCCAATCAGGCTAGTTAGTGTATCCATCATCTCATGTGTTTATCATTTATTTGTGGTAAGAACATTTAAAAGCCTCTCTTCTGGTTATTTTATGAAAGGATCTATGCAATTCAAAACATTTTGTTTTAGATATTAACTATAAATTATGAATTATTCCAAAAAGAGAGTAATGGATTACTTGTTTCTAGTGCCTAAAGCAGTGCTTAATATACTTTTCTTTGAACATAAATGTTTATCTCTTTAGTGGAAGAGTTCAAATATTGAACAAGTATTTAAGAATATATACCTCCGGAGCAAAGAGCTCATTTTTGGGTCTGTTCCACACATACATAGATACAGGTCAACATGAAAGTTAATGGTTCACTTCTTAGAGAACTAAAAAGCAGCTTTTGGTATACCATGAAATTTGGATATTTATTTAAGAATTACTTAAATAGTGGTCCTGAACGTATTTGGTTTATAGATCCTTTTGAGAACAATGAAAACGTGGAATCCCTCTCCCAAAAAAAGACATGAATGCACATACACAAACATGCAGTTTCAGGAATTCTCTACTCCCCTCAACCTACCATGGACTTTATATTATCTTGTTTTGGAAACTACTAATAGACCACTTTCAGTTTAAAGCAATTTATATGGTAAAATTTTAAAAGTTATTGAAATGTGTAATCCATTTTTTCCTCTCCATATAGACTACTTTGCTCTATTGCCCTAGCTCGATAGATTTACAAACATTAGCAGAATGGAACTCTTCTCCCATTAGCCACCAGTTTGATGTGATTAGTCCATCACACATATGGATATTTGCACATGTGACCCAAGGCCAAGACCCATGGATTATAAGTCTCTCCAGTTTTTTAAAGCAAGAAAATCTTCCTAAACACTGCTCTACAGCTGTGAGCTATGCTTGGATGTTTGCATACACAAGACTTCAGTTGTTGTCCCCTCAGGTCGATATAAAGTAAGTTATTTTCCTAGTGTAAATTTAAAAATGTATAGACTGTCAGCTTTCGTATGTATTTATTTGAAAAATACAAAAGTATTACAGATTGGAAGGCCCATAAATAATATGTGATACTGTATTGATGTCTTAAGGAGGGAGAAGAATGTTGTCAAGGACATAGTGTCATAACTTCTTCATCCTTTTCATGTAATACAGTCTCACCAAATTTTAATTGTTTACTTAATAACACTGTACTTGGTACATAGTTGTGTCCATTGAATCTGTGTTAAGGGAAAAAATTAGGAAAGGATCTGAAGATGAGTATGGATGTAGATACAGAAGTTTGTAGATAAAGGGTGAGAAGCAGAGCGAAACAGCTCAGTGGCCTTACTTTTCCTGATGACAGTATAAGGAAGGCCACCTTCTGGTGGGGAGTGGTAATAACACACTGAGTAGTGGATGTGAGGATGTTGGTAAAGTTTTGGAGTAACTGATTATGAAATGGAGAGTTGACCAAGGCCATTATAAATTTTAGTTAATTTTTTTTTTTTTCTCTTAAATACAGAGGAGAATTTTTGAATGTGGGTTTGGGTTCCTGATTTCCCCTTACATAGATCACATTGAATGGAATGAGTCCTCTCAGCATGTAACTTGACCCTGCAAACCCAGCATCTGTACTGACCTATCACTTGAGGCCTACATTAAAGGCTCTTCAAATCTGACTTCACTCTGTACTTTTTTTCTTACTTTCTATCAATACCTTCAATGTTGGAACCAAATTATCCCCTCAAAGTTCATTACATGTGGTTGACAGTTTCCATTTTGTGAGCTTTTGTTCACATGAGCATAGGATACCTTTTTTTTTTTTTAATTTTTGCGTATCTATGTCTGATATAGTTCAAATTCAATCTTATTTTTTAAAATCTCTTAAACTTCCTACCCAGAATAGTCATTCTTACTTTTGGATTTGAATATCTATACAATTAGTAGAAATAGTATTTCTACTAATTGTATATATATGGTCTCAGGTATTGTGTATTGGATTTCTTTTTTGTTTTGTGTTGTTTTTCTTTCTTTTTTTTCTTTTTTTAAAGAGACAAGGTCTCGCTGTGTTGCTTAGGCTGGAATGCAGATGTGTAATCATAGCTGATTGCAATCTCAAACTTCTGGGCTCAAGCAGTCCTCCCACTTCAGCCTCCCAAAGTGCTGGGATTACAGTTGTGAGCCACCACACCTGGTCTAGTTGTTACTTTTTTAATAAAGATTGACATTTGCAATCCCAGCACTTTGGGAGGCCGAGACGGGCGGATCACGAGGGCAGGAGATCGAGACCATCCTGGCCGACACGGTGAAACCCCGTCTCTACTAAAAAATACAGAAAAAAACTAGCCGGGCGAGGTGGCGGGCGCCTGTAGTCCCAGCTACTCGGGAGGCTGAGGCAGGAGAATGGCGTGAACCCGGGAGGCGGAGCTTGCAGTGAGCTGAGATCCGGCCACTGCACTCCAGCCTGGGCGGCAGAGCGAGACTCCGTCTCAAAAAAAAAAAAAAAAAAAAAAAGAAGATTGACATTTGCCACCTTGCATACCATTTATGACCTTATCTTAAGTAGCCTTCTCTAATGACCATATTTTAAATTATAACCCCATCTCCTAGCAGCATTCTTTATCTCCCCTTTCTGCTCTATTTTTCTTCATCAAACTTAACACCATCTGACATTGTTTTATTTATTTCTTTATTGTATGTCTCCCATAGCCCACATGGGGGCAGTGATATTTTTGACAGTTTTTTAAAACTGATATGTTACCATACCTAGTATGTTAACATACTAGGACATTGTTCTATGATACTCTTACTGAATTAATGAAGTGGTGTGTTTGCATTACTTACCTTAGCATATTACAAAACTTGTTGAAGGCAAAGATTATATATTTGTATTTTTCCTCTTTCGCTTTGCTTTCAGTCCTTAATTCTTACATAATTTTGGTATTTGGAAAGACTTATGGAATTGTTTCAAAATATTTTATTGGTGTAACCTTTCAAGACAGAAATTTGGCAGAAACCTTGAAAATATGTATCTTCTTTGACTCTGTGATTTCATTTTCAAGAATTACCTAAGAAAATAATTAACCATATATTCAAATGTATAGTATTGTGTATAATAGGGAAAAATTGCTATTAGCTAAAATGTCAACAAAAGCTTGGTTATATAAAATATGATACTTTATATTTATATAGCATATGATAAATCAAAATAATGTCACAGAATATTAATTTACATAGAGAGGTGAAAAATACATAAGTCTAAAAAGTTGATACAAAATAAAATAAACATTTAATTTGTATAAATTAAAAGATGTATTCATGCATTTACGGTTCATGTATATGAATTAAAGATATATAGAATATGCAGTGTTTATTTTCATGTGGGATTAAAGATGATTTTGATTTTTGTTTTATTTTCTTTCTACATTGAGGATACATAATAAGTTATAAAATACGGCCCAATAAAATATTAACTTTTATTACAGGAATAATAATGTTAAAATGATCTGGTAATATATTTTAATTTTTAATCCAGTACTTTATTCATTGATATCAGTCCACAAAAACAGTACTAGTAATAAAAACCTTATGCTAACCATCTCTCTAATTAGCATTAGGCCAGGAATGGTGGCTCACCCCTGTAATCCCAGCACCAGCACTTTGGAAAGCCGAGGCAGGTGGATCATCTGAGCTCAGGAGTTAGAGACTATCCTGGGCAACGTGACGAAACCTCATCTCTACCAAAAATACAAAAAATTTGCTGGGCGTGGTGGCACACACCTATAGTCCTAGCTACTCTGGAGGCTGAGGTGGGAGGGTCACTTGAGCCTGAGAGGTGGAGATTGCAGTGAGCCAAGATTGTGCCACTTGCACTCCGGCCTGGGTGACAGAGAAAGACTCTGTCTCAGAAAAAGAAAGAAAGAAATACAGCATTAGTTAAAATAAACTTTTAAAAATGTGTTGTGTTATTCATATCTGCCCATTTTTCTTTTTTTTTCCTTAGTAGCCCCATCAATGCTAAGAAAGTAAATACCACCACAAGCAGTGACTCATACATTGGCCTGTGGAGAAACTATCTGATCCTTTGCTGCAGTGCAGCAACATCGTCATCTTCCACATCTACAGGTTCTGTGAGATGCTCTCCTCCTGAGACGCTGGCGTCTACCCCAGATAGCGGCTATAGCATTGATTCCAAAGTAAGTTTCTCAGATCCACTGTTGGATCTATGAAATCTGAATGGCCCCATAAAAATAAGATTTTAAAATTTCTTTTTATGGACAATAAAGTAACTCAGTTGAAAGTATATTACTTACTTGCAAAAAGGAAAATACCTCAAGAAAGCCCATCATTGTTTTTATGGATTCCTAGTCGGAATCAATAATACGTACATAGTTTTCCATTGGAAAGAAAGACCCATGCCCATTCAGTTTATCATACTCGTTATTTTAAAAGAAATTGTCATACCTATTTTCCCATATTCCAGTTTTTGTAGTTCTCACACTTCTCAGAACCCAAAAGGAATCATTTACATAATTAAATGCCTTTCTAGAATTTCCCTAAATCATGTAGTGATCTAAAGGGTACTGGATAGGAGCAGTGGTTTTGTTTTCATGAAAATGACAAAACTTAAGACCAGAGTATCTGATTTTAACACTGATGACTATTTTAGAAGTCATTTTGTTTTCTTCATGTTCATGGATCGAAAGGTACAGAGTATCTGATGAAGGGAGTCAGCCTATTATATGATCGTGAGTGAGGGTAAGAAATTAGGAGCCCCAAGTTTTGTTAATGAGCTTGCATTAAGCCATTGGATAAGTTATTTAACCTTTTAAATTATGTGCACCACAGGTGAAATTTGAGGTATCATTCATAGTAAAGTTTCATCTGTCCATTTATCCTTGACCTATGACTACTGAAATCTCAGATTATCTAATTGGACATAGTATCATTAGTGGCTGTTATAAATATAGTATTTTTTTTTCCAGATTATTGGCATCCCATCCCCTTCATCCTTGTTTAAGCACATAGTTCCAATGATGCGCTCTGAGAGCATGGAAATCACAGAATCCCTTGTTCTAGGTCTTGGCAGGACCAACCCAGGAGCTTTTAGGTAACTATGTTCATACTTTTTTTTTTTTTAAGCACTAAAAGAATAAATGTGCTACTTAGAAGGTGTGGTAGGGTCAAGCAGAGTGCTTATTGGGATGGTCACATACCAGGCCTGACTTTCACCAATTAAGTAGCCATGTAGCATTTAGCAAGTCATTTATTGGAAGTTTTATTTCCTCATTTTGACTGAGCAGATTAAAACTTACCTATGTATTCTAGGAATAATGAAATGCCGTATAAATATTTAGTATTTTCCTACTATATATATTTATGTAGTCATTCTTTTAATGTGTAATCTTGGTCTAGTAGTTAAAACTCCAGTTTTCCCCCTGCTTATCCAAGAGAATTAGAATATCTTTCAAAAAGTATTTACATAGATGTTTGATATCATTCGTGATTTTTTTATATTAATGAAGCAAATTCTTCAGTTTTGCCTGAAGTTCTGCCTTGTTGTCTCCTGGGCATGGAATTTATTCTTTTGAGAATTTCCTCAATTAATGTGAGAATGGTATCTGATGTTTTGTCTCCAAGATAACCTGTACAACCAGGAAATAGGTTAATACCCTGGTTTATCTTCAGATTGTATAAATCTTCTGCCTTTTGCTAAAGATTTCCATGGAAAGGAACATTTAAGTAAAAAAGAATAGGTTAATAAATTGTAATATATCTATAGGTGTGGGATAGCATTTCTTATAAATGAAGTTTTGGAAAAACTTTCAGATTTTCCCAATCTTAAAATAAGCACATTTTCAATTTAAAATCAAAATATAGATAAAGATAAATTTATCATTTTTACAAAGTTCATACCCTTTGACCCATTAATTTAATTTGTAAAATTAATCCTAAGGAGATAGAAAACAATGATAAATATACAAAGTTGTTCACAGAGGCAATATTTTTAGTAAGAGAAAATTAGATAAAATATAATGATTCATTAATAAATGAAAATGTCTAGGAAAATTATGGTACCCCACTCTGTGTTTGAATATCATGAATTAGTTATTGGCATATAAAATTAACTATGTTAGTGTAAGAAAAGAAAAAAAAGGAGGCCGGGCACGATGGCTCACACCTGTAATCCTAGCACTTTGGGAGGCTGAGGCAGGCAAATCGCCTGAGGTCGGGAGTTTGAGACCAGCCTGACCAACATGGAGAAACCCCGTCTCTACTAAAAATACAAAAAATTAGCCAGACATAGTGGTGCATGCCTGTAATCCCAGTTACTCAGGAGGCCGAGGCAGGAGAATCACTTGAATCTGGGAGGCGTAAGTGGCAGTGAGCCAAGATCACGCCATTGCACTCCAGCCTGGGCAACGAGAGTGAAACTCTGTCTCAAAAAAAGAAAAAAGGATACCATTTTATATAAAATAGTTTGAACTAAGTAAAGTGTATGTCACTTGCAAACTGATTGAATAAAAGTATTGGTAGTATTCCCTCTATAAATTAAAATAAGGGGCCTATACCATTTTTTTCCTGGTTTCCAAATAATCTATAATATAATGTGTTATTTTATAAACAAAATAAAACAATAGACATTGCATTTAAAACAGTAGGATTAGAAGTAACACTTGTCAGTTTACATCATATCTTTACATATTTACATGTGTCAAATTATATCTGTGTAGCTACTAATAGAATATGTACCATTTTTCTTCTAGGGAACTAATAGAGGAATTACATCCCATAATTAAAGAAGCACTCGAAAGAAGGCCGGAGGTGAGCTGTGTTCTGCAGCCTTCTATTAGTGAACATTTATTTTTCTGCCATATTTACATGTTATATCAAAAGTTAGAAATTAAGACGATTATCTAGTGTATTCTTCTTTTTAAGATGCAGACACTTCCCCTCCCCCCAGAAGATCTTATGCAGAAACCCATTATGTAAAATGAATGAACAATTGCTTTAACTTAAGTGAGGGCAGAAAATAGGGTCTAGGTTGGAGGTGGCAAACTTTTTCTGCAGATAAATATTTTCGGCATTACAGGCCTCTACTCAACCTTGCCTTTGTAGCATGAAAGCATTCATAGACTACATTAAAAAAAGGAGTGTGGCTGTTTTCCAGTAAAACCTTATTTGCAGTAACAGGTAGCCGTGGGCCAGATTTGGCCCATGGGCTGTAGTTTCAGTTCTGAGCAACTTTCAGAAACTATAGGTCCAGTGGGACAGATGGTTGCATAACCTTAATTCTAGCAATTTATTACGTACTCAAATAAAATCATAGAGAAGGGATTCTAAGAACTACAGAGAGGAAAGCCTGGGACTCTGGTTGCAGGGTAAGGAAGGCATTATAGATGAAGTGCTGATATTTGAGATGAATTTTAAAGCATGTTTCCCAGTGGACAAGCAAGGGAAAAGTATTCTAGGTGAAGAACAGCATTTGCAAACTTTACAAAGAATTTTGAAATGGCAAATTTTTCTGTATAATTATATTATGGGGGAAGTGATTGAATATTAGGCTGGATAGCAGGATGAGAAATATCTCATGAAAAACTACTAGTTTTAGCTTTAACCAATAGACCAGTAGTTCCTATGCCTGTGGCATCTGAGAATTACCTGGGGAGCTTGCTAAAAATTTTAGACTCCTGGGCCTATTGAATGAGAATCCCTGGAATAGGGTCCAGAAGTCTATTTTTGTAAAGCATCTTAGATGAGTCTGCTGTAGAACATCGTTTAGGAATCAGTGCTGTTAATGTCAGGGATCCCCTGAGGAATTTAAGCAGGAGAGGGAGATGGTGATAATCCCTGCAGTTTAGGGACTTTGAAACATCATCTGCAATTCCTCACTCTCCTTTAATTTAGCACTGTAGGGTCATGATAGTATTCCCATTTTGTCATTGATTTGATTTTTGTTTCAGAATGATCAGTTTGGTTACAGTGCTGGATGACTTATTAGAGAAATGTAAGCTTGAAACAAAACGAAATAGCAGTATTTATTTTTCTGAATTTCAGAAGGAAAGCTATTAAACACATACGGTGATGTGCCTTGAATATGAGTTATAGTTTAAGAGCTTTAGACTCACACTGTTTCTGTGAAGACAAAATGAAAACAGGCCAACCAAACTGCAAAAACAAGTTGCAGTAATCTTCAGAGACTGATAAGAAATCATCCTGTCCCAAATGAATTACTGTCAACTTTAGAAAGAGCCCAGAGAAAAGTAAATGTAATTGATTAGTCATTAGTAAAATGTCACACACCTGGAAGGCAGAAAAATTGGGTCATGGACGAGAAAGTGAAAGACTAGTAAATATGTTTTTAATTGCTCTGTAATTTGAAAATTACATCACAAATGAAGTACTGAGCTATTATTAGTAGAAGGTGATATAGGTGATCGATATCTCTTACATGACTTTCTGCTAGAAGCAGAATCAAGTTGAAATGTTACAACTATTATTCTAGGCATTATTCTAGTTCTTTGGACCTAATAATACAAACATATTTATTCATATCGTAATGAGTAAGGGAGTTTTTCTCATATTTGTTTATTTTTTTTGTGCCAAAATTAATCGTTGTGTAGAAAACTGTGGCATGAGCAAAATCTTAAGTTCTTTTTAGGATTGTTTTCCCTACACTTATGTCCTATTTTTGGGAGGGTATTAGGGATTCTTTATTAGTCCATGATAATGGTTTACTAATTACTTCGATTCTAAAACTGTCTGATTAGCAAATAACCTAAAAATGTAGTATTTTACTTCCTCTGACACACAGGGGTTGTCACCATGTAAGAAGTCATGTGACTTTATTTGACTTATTCATTTCAGACTGTTCACACATATCTCTTTGAGGCAGTAGCTACCAGAGTACCTACAGTCTACATTGTACAAGCAAAATAACTTCAGTGAGGCCAGAACCTCTCTCTGAGACATTCACATTATTCTTTCCAAGTTACACCCGCAAGATTTTAATTAATATGTTTGTATCTTTGGAATAGAATATGAAACGGCGCAGGCGTCGAGACATTTTACGAGTACAACTGGTACGAATATTTGAACTGCTGGCAGATGCTGGTGTCATTAGTCACAGGTCAGTATTGGATTCAGATTGTTAAAACTTTGGAATGATCCTAGAGAACGTAATCTCTTTTCACTCATGAAATGTATAAAAACAGAAAAGCACCATTGCAACAAGAAAACCTGTATGTATCACTATGAAAATTATTTAACAAATATTCGATACACTAACCAATAGCTAAAAATGTATTGAAAAATCTACCACCAGAATTGGATTGCTTCTGGCAAAAAATGGATATAATGTTCCTATGATTTTGATATTTGTTGGAACCTAGTTATCTTGGCAAGTGGATGGTAGTAGCTTTTTCTTCACAGATTTTCCTGTTTTTTACCTCATTTTAAAGATTTTTTCTTCTGAGCTTGAAAAAATAATACATTCACAGGTTAAACATTATAAGGCTTACAAATTTATTCCAATGAACTTGTTATCTATCCTGCCAGGAAAAATTATGAAATCTACAAATATAATTCATAACAGTTTTCCACCCTTCACAGACAAAACCATGAAACCTAGAGATATTGCCGCAGTAAAGGCATCTTCACACTAAGCCTAGCCCCTTGAGGAAAATTCCATCAGCCGAATGTTGAAAAATAACTATTTCCTTAGGAGGATAATGGTGTTACCTGACCATTGAAGGAGAAAAATAATAGATCTGACCATATCCAAAAAAGGTCACTGAAAAGATATCTTAAGGAAAAAAAAAAAATGGACCAGGTGCAGTGGCTTACGCCTGTAATACCAACATTTTGGGAGGCTGAGACGGGTGGATTGCTTGAGCCCAGGGGTTGGAGACCAGCCTAGGCAACATAGCAAAATCCCCTCTCTATAAAAAATGCAAACAATCAGGCGGGAATAGTGGCAGACCAATAGTCCCAGATACCTGGAAGGCTGAGGTGGAAGGATCACCTGAGCCCAGGACATTGAGGTTGCAGTGAGCCTTGACCATGCCACTGCACTCCAGCCTGGGAAAAGAGCGAGACTCTGTCTTGAAACAAAAAGGAGAAAAAGAAGTATTAATAATACAACAAGTGTAGTAACTATGGTAACTGCATGGCATTATTCCTTTAGCATTTCTCCCGATTATTTATTTTACCTAACACCTTTCATATGTAGCATTGAATGCTTTTGACAAATGCTTTCAAAATACATTTTTAATCAGAGTATTATTTAAACTATTGATTTACTTTTCTTTCCTAGTAAAAAGCAAATAAAGAAATATTGGCCGGGTGCAGTGGCTCACACCTGTAATCCTAGCACTTTGGGAGGCCGAGGAGGGCAGATCACCTGAGGTCAGGACTTCGAGACCATCCTGACCAACATGGTGAAACCCCATCTCTACTAAAAATACAAAAATTAGCTGGGCATGGTGGTGCATGCCTGTAGTCTCAGCTACTCGGGAGGCTAAGGAAGGAGAATCGTTCAAAACCAGGAGGCAGAGGTTGCTGTGAGCCAAGACAGTGCCATTGCACTCCAGCCTGGGTGAGAAGAGCGAAACTCTGTATCAAAAAAAAAGAAAAGAAATGCCATTCTCTTTTTTTCTTTCACAAAAAAATAAGAGTTAGGAAAAGTAAAATTGAAACTTGCTGGCTTGATGCAAAAAAATTAACAACCTGATACACATCTGAATCTTTTTTTTTGGTTGCTTTAATTGTAGCGTTAGTAGAAGAACCTTTAAATGGTTCTATTTTAGGGAATGCAAAATGTTGCTCTATTTAAAGTTAACTACCAAAAACTATATGACTATTAAGCAATAATGATCTTTGAAGCCAGTTGTGTATTTTGTTTTGAAGTATTTTTAAAAAGAGTTATTGATAGAAAGTTACTGCTATTCTAGATTTTTAAATTTCCATGGCTAAGGAAAATAATGAGTTCTGAATGCTAAGAACACAGGGAACTTTGTTTTGTTCACCTAGTGGATTTCATGTACCTGACACATAGGAGATAATGAATATTTGTTAGATTAATGAAGATTTTATTCTGGTGCAGGTTGTAGTCCACTAAATCAGTTTCCTATCCACTAATAGGTCATGATCCAGAGCTTGAAAAACACTCATTTAAGGAATAAAGGAAAAAATTTGAAAAGCACCTGAAAAACACTTATTTAAGGAATAAAGGTCATACATTGATTCATTCAATACATATTTATTGTTGTAGACTGATATAGTCAATATACTATAGTATCATTGCAACTCCTAACTCTTGTTTTCATAGGTTTAGGATATTTATTCCAAAGTTACTATTTAAAAAAAATTACCTTTAAAATAATATATATTAGAAGTACTTTTCAAACATAATAAGAAAAAGCTGACCTAAATAAATGCATATGTAATAGCTAATCATTTATATAGCACTTATTGTTTGCTAGGCCTTTTCATATATAGCAGCTCATTTACATCCTTCTAAAACACTCTGAGGTAGATACCGGGTATATGCTTAATGATTGATGAAACATGACAGGAATCCAGGACTTCTGACTCTAACCAAATACTCCCCTATCAGTCAGTCAGTGGTTTCCAGGCACAGACATAGATCCCTGCCTCAAAGAAAACCTCATTGCAGATATATCTTTCCTCCTTGAGACAGGCTCTTGCTCTGTCACCGAGGCGGGAATGCAGTGACTAGATCACAAGGCTCAAACAATCCTCCCACCTTAGCCTCCTGAGTAGCTGGGACTACAGGCGTGCACCACCATGCCTGGCAAATTTTTGTGTATTTTGTAGAGACGGGGTTTCATCATGTTGCACAGGCTGGTGTCGATCTCTTGAACTCAGTGATCCACCCACCTTGGCTTCCCAAAGTGCTGGCATTACAGGTGTGAGCCACCGTACCTAGCGCATTGCAGATACTCTTAAAGGCAGTTCCATAGGTCTAGAAAGAGGTTTTGAAACCCAGTACTCTACCCTATTCTTACCAGAATTCTCTCAGATTTTTGCATCCCTGATAATACCTATCCCAGAATCTTACTGAGAATAAGTGACTAATAGATATTTGATTATACTGAAGGCATAATATGAATAGACATGGCAGCTATGAATAAATAGAACTAGTCTTTTTCAACTTTTCTAAACTGATCCTCCCCATTTCATATGCCTCCTGTCTCTTTGTTTAGAAATCCATGTGTTTCACAGAGAGGAAACAACATTTAGCACTGAGTTGATTTAAGTTAGATATGGAGTTGAATAATATAAATTGCAATAGCAGTTCCTAGATTAAGAAGCACCATCTATTTTCGTATTAAAGTAAGCAAAATCGTATTCATTTAATTTTCATTTATTAAGTTGCATGCTGCCATGAGCATGCAAAATTAACATGTATTATTCTCATTTTGAGTATTAATAATTTTTAATTTAAATTATAATTTAAAGTCCCATTTGCTTCATCATTTGTTTTCTTCAATATTTTCAGTGCAAGTGGTGGCCTTGATAATGAAACACATTTTCTCAACAACACTTTATTGGAGTATGTAGATTTAACTAGACAACTCCTGGAAGCAGAAAATGAAAAAGACTCTGACACACTGAAGGATATACGATGCCATTTTAGTGCCTTAGTGGCGAATATTATTCAGAATGTTCCAGGTATTATTTTCAATTTCTTAAAGCATTATTGAGTATTAAGGAACCGTCATATTTTTTCTTTCCTTGAGGTTTAATAATCTAAGTTGATAAAGTAACGTATGAACATACTGGAAAAATATGTCAGCATAACCTGGATGGCTGGAGTTTGTTTTCCCTTTGAATTATTGTCAGTGATTAGAAGTAAAAAAGCAACCCAGCATGGAATTTCAATAATGATCAGAATACTGACACAAGAACCTAGAGAAATCAATAGAATAAGCTCTTTAGACAACCTTGTTTTAGATGCAGTAAGCAGAGTGCAGTGTTTCAAATGATAATTGAGAATAAAATTAAGACGATACTTTTGAATAATGGGAAAAGAATATAGGCCATAAATACAAAATGTAACAAGGATTCCATGTTATTGGTTTACCAGATATGTTCTAATTATTGAGTAGGTTCTATATTGACAGATATTGGTTTAGATAGTAGGAAGATTAATATACACAATTACATTTTTAAAAGTTAAATTCTTGACAACTGTAAGAAGTAATGTGACTCTAGCCTTTGGCATACAGTATAAATACAAATGTTTCTTTTTCTCTCTGAAAAATTAAAGTCACATTGTTGGTTTGAATAGTATATACAGACAGTTGATGCCTGAAGAACATGGGTTGTATTTTATAACAGGGTCATTAAGCACTTAATTTCATATGTCAGTTTCAACTGTAGGAGCCTTGTTTTCATCTTTGAAAAGAAAATGATACTGTCAAAGGAAAAGAGCATTTTTTTTTCAAAATTTTCTGATCTGAAGCTCACTAATGTAAAGATGTGGTTTAGTCTATTACTAAACACTTTTTTACAACTTCCAAATTGGTTTATTGTGATACTGCTGAGTTTCTTCAAGAAGGATAGATATAGAGAAATTATATAGTAGAATTTCAAAATGGGGGAAAAAATCCTTGGAGATCATTTAAACCAGTGGTTTTCAAACTTTGCTGTTTCTCAAAGCCCTGAGGTTGTCCAGTGCCATCAGCAGAAAGCAGCAGAATGTGTTTGGACGCTAGGCCTCAACTCCGCTTTTATCTGTTTTATGTATTGAGATTACATGTAAGCTTCCTTTAACAGGAAAAGGCAGCTTTCCTGCTGAAAAAAAAAAAGTACAAAGTTTGAAAACATGTATCTTGTCCAAAGCCCTTACTTACCAGTGAACCAAGATACAGAGGTGTGTCTGTGTTAAAATCTTGGCCAGTCTCACCATATAGCCAGTGATAGCCCAGGGAGAAATGGGCTCCTGGCCCCACCTCTGTGCCAGCTTTCATGTGCCATTGAGCCTGTCATGGAATTTCTGCTTGCAGAGGTGCTGTATGTCATGTAATGCTGCCACAGAGTGACACAGACTGCAACTTTGTTTCTGCGATTTGCATATATATAAATGATCCCTGCTACTGTGGAGGTTTTTGATAGTTTAAAATGAAAAATTTTGCTTTCTTTTTTACACTGTTACACATTCAGTAACATGTCAGTAAAAAGTTAAAGCAAAAAGAAATGGAAATAAATGTTTTCTATCTTTTCTTATTTGCAGTGCACCAGAGAAGAAGTATTTTTCCTCAGCAGAGCCTTCGTCACAGTCTATTTATGCTGTTCAGTCACTGGGCAGGTCCTTTTAGCATCATGTTTACGCCCTTGGACAGATACAGTGATAGAAATATGCAAATTAATAGACATCAATACTGTGCGTTAAAGGTATTTACTTAGAAACCTGATTTCTTTTTTTTTAAGAGCAGAGTTGAATATTTTTGTCTCTCAGTCACTAGTATTTTAAAGAGGATAAGAATTTCTTCACAGTATCTGAGAGTGTTAGAATATATGTTTTTCTGCCGTATTCAAAATTTATACCAAAAGTTATATTTAAATACATAAAATACAATGAAAAACACTTCCAGAATCTACTCAAATTTGATCACTATTATCTTAAATAACTGAGTATTACTTGAAAGGAATGCCTTTTTTTCCGTTACTTAAGTACTTTTTCTTGGTCTTTTTATCTTCCTTTACAGTATTGTTCAAACTCCATGTCTAATTTGGTGTCATATTTACTTACTCATAATAAATTTCTTAGTTTTAAAAAATAATTTGTAAAGAAAAAAATTAAAGTATTGTGACTAGATACTAGATAAGTATTTTGCCTCTTCTCATTAAGCAACCAACATTTAACCTCTTAAATTTGTTAAATATAATTCTAATATTATTATTTGAAGGCTATGTCTGCTGTACTATGTTGTGGCCCTGTTGCAGATAATGTAGGACTTTCATCAGATGGCTATTTATACAAATGGTTGGATAACATTTTGGATTCTCTGGACAAAAAGGTAATTATGACAGTTTCCTTAAAGGTTCATAATAAATTCTCATTGTAGTATTAGCAGTTCGTGTATGTTGCACTAAAAACAAGTCTTTTTTAAAAAATAAGATAGGTTAGGATCATATGCAAAAAGCATATTATATAAAGTTAAATAGGATCTCATAATGTAAAAATGTTCCAATTCTTACATATCATTAATTTGAATAATTTTAATTTCCCTTTTAATATTATAGGATTAATACAGTGGTGTGTGTCTCTCAACAGGGTTCTAAGTCAATAAATAAAATACTAACATAGAACATATTGAGCTGCATGGGAGAAATATGTTATTTGCTATGTTTCATTTCATTTTTTTTTTAACCACTTTCCATTTAATCATTCTTCCTTGCCCTCCACACCCTTTGCTTTCCTTACTCTCATATTGTACATTTACAGACTTCACAATTTAACATAGGACTTACATCTTTTTCCCCTCACAACAATTTTTGTATTGGGTTGTCAAAAACAAGAATAAAGCTTGATAAAAATAATTAGAGAGCTTAATGACTCATTTTTCTGAAAGCACTTAATCACTATTCATATTCATTAACCGCCTTCAGGGCTCTGTTGGAAGACAGAATCATACTAGAGAGGCTCGTGTAAAAAGCAAGAGGCCAAATTCAATTCATCTGTGTGGTTTTTTTCTGCTGGCTGAGTAAAATGAGAGGGAGGTGAACAAAAGGAGATGGAATTTTCCTATTAATTACAACGAATATATGCACCATATTACCTTAGTAAGAACTGTAGGGAAACAGACAAAAAATATGTAACGTTCTGTCTCTATTGAGCAATTTCACAACCTTGGCCTAGGTTCACCAGCTGGGCTGTGAAGCAGTTACGTTGTTGCTGGAGCTGAACCCTGATCAGAGCAACCTGATGTACTGGGCTGTGGACCGCTGCTACACGGGCTCCAGGAGGGTGGCGGCCGGCTGCTTTAAAGCCATTGCTAATGTTTTCCAGAACAGGTACTTTAGATACGGGTTTCTTGTTTTGTTTGCTTAAAGAAAAGTTTTTCTTTGAATTTAAAAATATGAAGACATCAGTATAGTTGTCCTTCAGTATCTGTAGAGGATTGGTTCCAGGACCCCTCTCAGATCCCAAAATCCGTGGATGCTCAAGCCTTCTATATAAAATGCTGTAGAATTTGTATTTACTCTATGCAAATCCTCCCATATACTTTCTTTTTTTTTTTTTTTTTAGACATGGTCTCGCTGTCACCCAGGCTAGAGTGCAGTGGCATGATCATAGTTTACTGTAACCTCAAACTCCTAGGCTCAAGCGATCCTCCACACCTCAACCTCCCGAGTAGCCAGGACTGTAGACTCCCACTACCATGCCTGGCTAATTTTTAAATTCTTTGTAGAGACGAGGTCTCACTACGTATGTTGCCCAGGATGGTCTTGAACTCCTGGCCTCTCACCTTGGCTTCCCAAAGTGCTGGGATTTCAGGCACGACCTGCTGTGCCTGGCCTTTCCCACATATTTTTGATCCACAGAGGGTTGACTGTATTTTCTTTTCTTAAGCTCTAATGCAGCTGTGTGTAACCCTTTGAATGTGAGGACTTTTTTGCTTATCTGTGGTGGTGGATATTACAAAAATTATGCATGGATTTTTTATTTTTCATCAGCATTTTTTAGTGTGTTTTATGTGTGGCACAAGACAATTCTTCTTCTTCTGATGTGGCACAGGGAAGCCAAAAGGTTGAACACTTGTGCTCTAATGGAATTTAACCAAAATAAGGACAATTATCACCACGCATCTGTTGTTGTACCTATTGCCTTGAAAAAACCAAGTCCCCTCATAGACTTAGAAGATAGGTGCCTACAAGCCTTGCCCTTTGCATATCATATTTATTAAATGGTGCAAAAGTCTCTAAACATTGTTATTTACCTAATATGTAAAATTTATTCCTAGGGATTATCAGTTTGACACAGTGATGCTTCTAAATCTGATACTGTTTAAAGCAGCTGATTCTTCTAGAAGTATCTACGAAGTTGCTATGCAACTTTTACAGGTTTGTAAACATGTGAATTTAAATATTTTTTTACTCAGGATTTAATGAAGCCCAATAATTTAGTCTTGCCATTAAAGCACACTGATAATAGTATTTAGCTTTATTTATAATAATGAAGTTATGGTATTAAGTCCTAATTATTATTAGAAATATAAGACAAAGATAATATAGATATTTAAATTTATAAATAATGCAAACTATTCCTAAGTGTATTGTAGAAGGGTTATTTATAGTAACACGTGTGTATGTATATGAAGGTACTTAAAATATGTGTCCATGTAAGTATTTCTGTTCAGCAGATGAGAACAATGTGTGTCCCAGTTTTTTTGGAGAGCCATATGAAAAATAATTAGCTCTTTTTATCATATTCTCATGTAAATTTTCTTTATTGGGTTGAGGAGAAATAACTTAGAAACTTAGCAAACACGGATATATTATTAGTATACAGTATTTAATTCATAATAGGGCAAGATTCTTCCATCTTAACCAAGGGCTAAGAATAGGATTCAAGCAGATACTTTTTCCAAAGGCTCTAAAGTGGTTCTGATGCCAGTAGATCCATCTTAGGAATTATACCCTAATGCCTTTGTTAATTAAGAGGAAAGTTCAGCAGTACAGCTCTTTAAATAGTGTAATGTCAAAAGGTTCTCCTTGAAGGATTTTTTTTTTCACTTATACATATATTGTACTATCGTATTTTTGAGTGAGAAAAGTGGTAAATCTTTTTCAAGTAATTGTATATTAAGTTGCTGGAGTTATTTTCAGAATGTATTATTAACCTGGATCATTGACATTAAATATGAGGAATGTAAGTTCTTTTAGTGAGAAAGGGTTTTTGTTTGTTTTGTTTCTTTTTGTTTTTGAGATAGGGTCTCACTCTGTCGCTTAGGCTAGAGTACAGTGGCACGGTCATGGCTCACTGCAGCCTCTACCTCCTGAGCTCAAGTGATCCTCCAACCTCAGCCTCCTGAGTAGCTGGGACCACAGGCACACACCACCACACCTGGCTAATTTTTTAATTTTTTGTAGAGATGAGGTCCTGCTATGTTGGCCAGGCTAGTCTCGAACTCCTGGCCTCAAGTGATCCTCCCACCTCTGCCTTCCAAAGTATTGAGATTACAGGCATAAGCCACTCCACTCAGCCTGGGAGAAGAGTTTTTTTTTTAAATATAAAATTATAGTTAAACTTTAGAGAACCCATAAAATCTTAACCTAAGTTGATGGAATCACATTCCTATAGATTCTGGAACCGAAGATGTTTCGCTATGCTCACAAATTGGAGGTTCAGAGAACAGATGGAGTACTCAGCCAGCTGTCTCCTCTACCACATCTCTATTCTGTTTCATATTATCAGTTGTCCGAGGAACTAGCAAGGGCGTATCCTGAGCTAACTCTCGCTATATTCTCAGGTATGATCAATGAACTGGTTAGTAGTTTCTCTTTGTCAATCATTTCTTCAAAAACAATTTTTAGAAAATTATAAATTTATTAAATTACAGGTTAAATCAAAACCAGACATGTCTTTACATAGAATATTTTTTCTTCAATAAGAACTCTTAATTCTGATCTGTCACAGTATTTAGGTTTTTCTATCAGCGGCGTCCTTGTAGGGTTTTACACCTTACCTTCCCTTGCTCCCTACTCCATCAAAAAGAAAAAAATACAAGAGGGAGGACTTTCCATATGTGACTTAAAAGTATTTCTTAGTAGACATAGAACTTCTTGAATACATTGTATTTTGTGTATTGGCATATCTTTAATAATAAAAATAGGCAGAGATAAGTTGTAGGCAGTTTTCCGTGAGTGAAACCCCTAACCATAGGAGCAGGTGGTACAGTGCCTTGAGCAAAACTCTTTCTAGTCTCCCACATGTTGCCTGTCACCTACATCAAGATCTTGTTCCAGTGTAAATACTGGACATGCACCAACACTAGGATCTGGGAGATTGTGGAGTTCTGCTGTGGGTCCTTTCTTTCATTTGGGCTCAAGAGTTAGTGGCCTTAGCCTGCTTGGGATCTTTGCATAGCACCTATTTTAGCAATAGAAATAGTTTATTTCCCTCCCTAATTTACCTGAGTGGGAGAAAAAAGCAACAACAACAACTTAAATTCTCCTAACATTTAGTTCTTGAAAGCAGTAGACCTGTTTGGTTTGCCCTAGTAGTTGGTAGCAATTATGCCCCTTCCTTTTTCCCAACCCCCGCATCCCTGACAGCCCCTCCAAGATGGATATGAGTGGTCATCAACACAAAATAGCAGCCACCATGAACACAGATTTTGTGGCTGCTGAGCTGCTGCTAGAAGCTTCTGCGTAGAAAGCAGGGGAGTCCAGCTAGGTCTCAGAGATCATGTAACTGTTTAGAATGCCATGTCATCGCCTAGGATGTCGGCTGGTACAGGTGTCGACCGTGCCCACGCCTCCACCACCACCACCTTGTCATTCTTCCTTCAGTTCTATCTTCAGACACTCTTGTCCTTAGCATCAGCTAATTTTAACTCCTTTGCTTAAGGTAGTTAGTTCTAAACCAAAACATAGCCTCTCAACCTGACAAATTCCATAGCTAACCTACATTTTCACTTTCACTGTTTCTAAGGCAAGACAAACACAATATTCATTCAGAATTTTACTGCACAGATACAGATATCAGCATAAACTTTGCCACTTTAAAATTTGAGGGTCCTGATCCTTTCTTTCTCCAGATTCAATGCAGTGGTCTTAAATGTTGTCAGCTCTGAGGCCCTTCCCATTCTTGCTCCTCGCATCCTTTCCCTCCTTCACACCTGCTCCTAACCCCTTCCTCACCCCTATGCCTTGCCTCGAGTGTATACACTCACTATTCCGTATTCTCAGTCTTCATGCATGCCTTAGATCTTCACAGATGGCCTTCACAGTCCACTAGTGTCAAATTCCTTTCTGTAGCCTCACCAGGTACCTTCCAACTGCTCAGTCTAGTCACTGGCTAATAGTCTTCGGTCTGTTTGCTGCTTTCCACAGCAATTGGTGTTAGCCATCTTATATTTTTTTAAGCTCTAACCTCGCTTAATTTCCAAAAACTTAGTATTTCTTGCTTTTTCTTCTACCATTGAGTATTCCTTTTCTGTCTCTTTTGGTAGATTCTTACCTTCCGTCCCTTTTTTCTTTTTTTTTCTTTTTGAGACACAGTCTCTCTCTCTCTCTCTGTCTCTCTCCCTCTCCCCGTCTCCCTCTCTCCCTTTCTCCCTTCCTCTCCCTCTCCCTCTTCCTCTCTCCGTCTTGTGATTTATGTTAGCTGTTAATATTTTGATGTCATTGAGGTGAAAGTTACTAAAAGAAAAAACAGTACGTATAATTGTTAAGTGTAATGAGTAAAATGAATAAAATCCAGCTTCTGAAATCTGTTGGAATTAATTACCAGTCAGAGGAAGCCGAAATTACATCAGTTCTCTTTGACTTGTTTTCAATTTCAGAGATAAGCCAGAGAATCCAGACAGCTCACCCTGCTGGACGGCAGGTGATGCTGCACTACCTGCTACCATGGATGAACAACATCGAGCTGGTGGACTTAAAACCTCTCCCCACAGCAAGGCGACATGATGAAGATGAAGATGATTCCTTGAAAGACCGAGAACTTATGGTGACTAGTAGGCGCTGGTTACGGGGAGAAGGATGGGGATCTCCACAAGCCACTGCAATGGTTTTGAACAATCTGATGTATATGACAGCAAAGGTAAAATGAGTTTTGTATTTATAATTGCTGCACAGAATTATTGAGTAAGTAGATGTGGTTAGAAACAGATGAAGAGGCTCCATAATCCTGTGATAACCAAGCAAAATGCATTATAAATTTCTTTCTTTAAAAAAGACTGATGATATATGAATTTTTTTTACTAAAACCATATATGATTAATGATATTTATGTTTAGATTTGTTGAAAGAAATTATTGTTTCTGTAAAGTGTGGAAACGATTAAAGCTATCTGTGGAAAACATTGTTTTTTAATATTTCATGGTATGACAAGTTTGGTTTTTATAATAGGCAGTCATGACTGAAGTATCTTTTGTGCGTATTGCATCTAGTATGGCGATGAACTGGCCTGGTCGGAGGTGGAGAACGTGTGGACCACACTTGCAGATGGCTGGCCCAAAAACCTGAAAATAATTTTGCACTTTTTGATCAGCATTTGTGGGGTGAATAGTGAACCAAGCCTCTTGCCTTACGTATGTATTCAAGTTCATTTAACTTAAAAATATATATATATATTTACTAGTATCTTATGATGTCAGAGTATGGGCAGCAGTTGCCCAATAGAGGCAAGGCAAGGGCCAGGATGAAGACAGTCAGGAAAATAGCACATGGATTTATTCACTGATTCAGTCAGCAAATGTTTTCCATCATTATGACAGACCAGGTGCTCTTCTGGGCATTACAATCTGATGGGTAATACAGAATTTATTTGTTGAACCTACATCTGATTTATTTAATGAATAAATCAGTAAGTTAATAAAGTATAGTGTGATAAAGGCTATTAAAAAATTGCAGAGTTCTGAGAGTAAAACTTAGGAACCACAGCTGTCTGGAAGGATTCAAGATGACACTTGAGAGAAAGTGATATTGAAGCTGAAACCACACATTGCGGATGTTTCTAGTTTCTGCTAGGCAGAGCTGGCATTTAGATACGAGAACAGGATGGTGAGTGAGAGCTCAGTGCTTATAGGATTGCCCTTCAGGCTGCTGGAAGCAAGGGAAAGCATGGTAAGAGATATGAAACGAAGAAGATAACATCTTTGCCTTCCAGGGGAGAAAGCAACATCCAGATCTGCCCAAGTCAAGACGACACGTTTGATATGAAACTGTCAAACGTGAGGGTTAAATGGACACACGTGCATATGTCTTTTTAGATGCAGATGTAGATATCCATCCCGTGGCAGCATCCCCCAAAAGTGTGGTCAGCGGAAGACTAGTTCTACAGAACGTTATCTAAAAGTTCTTACAGGCCAGGCACGGTGGCTCATGCCTTTAGTCCTAGCACTTTGGGAGGCCGAGGTGGGCAGATCACCTGAGATCAGGAGTCAGAAGCCAGCCTTGCCAACATGGTAAAACCCCATCTCTACTAAAAATCCAAAAATTAGCCAGGTGTGGTGGCTCATGCCTGTAATCCCAGCTACTTAGGAGGCTGAGACAGGAGAATTGCATGAGCCCAGGAGGCAGAGGTTGCAGTGAGCTGAGATCTGGCCACTGCACTCCAGCCTGGGCGACAGAGCGAGACTCCGTCTCAAAAAAAATAAAAAATAAAAAAATAAAATAAATAAATAAATAAAAGTTCTACAGATTCTATTTTAAACAAACCACTTAATAGCTTTGCTTTACCCAGCATTCCCCAAGTTCACTTGGTCACTGAAAGCATCATTGCCAAGGTGTACCACAGGCGTAGTGCCTTTGAGGAGTGCTTAGAGAACTGTAGGTGTATAGTACAAGACAACGTTACCCCACGTCACCTCTCTGGCTGTGTCTCCTATATTCTCTCTGGTGCTCCCACCCTTCAGCTGTACTGGCCCCCCTTTGCTTCTAGCCCTCTCACCAGGCATTCCCTCCTTGGTGCCCTCACACTCACTTGCCTTCTCTTTCCCCAGTTAGCCACGTTACTCACTCCTCGTCTCTTTCAGGTCCTCCTTCAGGTGTCAGTGCCCACTGGGACTTCTGCTGCCCATCCTGTGTAGAACTGCAAATGCCCTACCTCCACACACACACTCCATTTCCTTTCCCTGCTTCATTGATCTTTCTGGCACTTAATCATCACCAAACACGTGATATATTTTACCTATTTACCTCTTTAGTTTTGCATCAACCAGTAGATTGTAAGCTCCTTAAGAATGGTAGTTTTTGTCTATTTGATTCACCGCTAAGTTCTCATTTAGTAGTGCCTGGCACATAGAAGATGCCCATTAATTGGATGAATGAATGGGGGAGTTAAAGCTGGAACCAGAAAAAGCATGAGATTATACTTTTAAGAGGCCAAATGGAAATTTGGGGAATAGCCATTTTCCAGGAATTTAAAAGGAGCCATTTTTTAATGTCAATAATAATAATGTATTGGTTATTATTTTTTAAGCACTTATGGGTGCTTATTTTAGGCATGGTAAAAGCACTTCATCCACATTATTTAATTCTCAGAATAAATCTATGAGTTTGGTGAGATCACTGCAGTTTTACAGATGAAAAAACAAGGCAGAGAGAATGGTAATTTCCTCAAGGTCTCACTCTGTCACTTAATAGTTCTAGAATTCCAACCCAGATCTGATTGTGAAGTCAGTAAAAGCTTCTTGGAGAAGGGAGTAGAGTTAAGGTAGGGGATGGGGCTCGAAGACTTGAAAGGATTAGGGTTGAGAGTGTCAACTCGGAGATCCCAAGTTTGGCAGAAGGAAGCCACAGAGGCAGGAATGCACGCAGCATGCTCAGAGGAAATTGAACCTGAAAGCAGAGAGAATTAACAAGTAGCGCCCATTGGATGGAGTAAACAGCCATACATAGAATGGTATCATTGGGTAACCATAATAAGAGTTTTGGCCGGGTGCTGTGGCTCACACCTGTAATCCCAGCACTTTGGGAGGCCGAGGCAGGAGGATCACCTGAGGTCAGGAGTTCGAGACTAGCCTGGCCAAGATGACAAAACCCCATCTCTACTAAAACCACAAAAATTAGCCGGGTGTGGCAGCAGGCACCTGTAATGCCAGCTACTTGAGAGGCTGAGGCAGGGAGAATTGCTTGAACCAGGGCGACAGAGGTTGCAGTGAGCCAAGATCACCCCATTGTACTCTAGCCTGGGTGACAGAGCGAGACTCCGTCTCCAAAAAAAAAAAAAAAAAAAAAAAGAGTAGTGGCTCAGGCCTGTAATAAAACATGTTTTAAGATTAATCCAGGGGTCATATAAAGCAGGGCTTTTCATATGTCTGTAAAAATATGAATCATTCTGATTCTGGAGGTGGAGTAGGCCTAAGATTTTCTATTTCTAGCAAACTGCAGATGATGATGCCTGTCTTGCTAGGATCACATTTTGAGTAGTAAGGATTAAAGTAGGGAGAAAAAGAGATAGGCTGATCAGTTATGAAGTTATTTCAGTAATATACATTACCAAAACATATATATAATATATACTACTGAAAAGTTTTTCTACTTACTTATACTGTGTTACTAGCCATTTGTAAAGTGCACTGTAAACCTTAACTCTTTTAATCTTCCTAACAGCTATATGAAGTATAGCTTCAACTCAATGATAGAGTTAGTGAGTGGTATATCCACATTCCAAACCAGGCAATGTAGTTTGAGTTCTAGTTTAGTTCTAGTTCCTTGCTCTTAATGACTACTCTGTTTGACTATAGGGAATGGGGAAGGCAGAATAAAAGATAAACCCTGGGTTTGGAGGCTAACTAAAAATCAGAGGAAAATCTTAGGATGTTATTACCTGGAAGTGTTTCGATTAAAAGAGAAATTTTTACAGAAATGTATTTTTTTTGCTTTTTTTTTAAAAAAAAAAAAAGCAAAAATAAAGAAAGTGCATAAAGTGGAAACCACTAAACATGTTCAGTTCATCCTAATTAGATCTAATGTTGAGAGTTAGAGGGAGGACAGTATTGATAAAGCTGATTAATGTCTTATTGTTGATCAGTGCCAGTTTTGATTTAGATTGTGTTTATTCATCTAGCACTTAAAGTTGAACTTACTCTGATAAAATTTGTCTCAGGAGAAATTAATGAGATAAAAACTTTGCTTTTTCTTTTCTGAATGATTTCTTTTGTGACAGGTAAAGAAGGTCATTGTATATTTAGGTAGAGATAAAACAATGCAGTTGCTAGAAGAGCTGGTGAGTGAGCTTCAGCTGACCGATCCTGTCAGTTCAGGGGTCACTCACATGGATAATCCCCCGTATTATCGCATCACTTCCAGCTATAAAATCCCTTCTGTCACCTCAGGTGAGAAATTTGTTAAAACTGCTGTGTGAGATGATAGGTGTCTTCATCTGCTTCACTATGGTAACCATTTTAGGGTCTCTGTGTCCCGTAACATCTTGTTACAAATCTCAGATATATGCAATAAAATTTATTGAAAAAAACACATCTTCCTCAGTATTGAAAGAGAAGCTTAACATAATTGTTAAACAAGAGTTTGTTGTGTCTTTAAATATTATTGTTGAGAAAACAAAAGCAAATGTGAGTCATGTATGGTAATTAATTTGATAAGACTTTGTAAATCCTCATGAGAAAGCAATTCGACAATGTAAGTATTAATATACAGAAAAGCAATATTTACATACTTATTCAGAGATGGAATATAAATTTATTCCCTACATAACACATACCTTTTTTTTCTTTTTTTTTTTCTTTTTTTTGAGGCAGAGTCTTGCTTTGTCACCAGGCTGGAGTGCAGTGGCGTGATCTCGGCTCACTGCAGCCTCCATCTCCCGGGTTCAAGTGATTCTCCTGCCTTAGCTTTCCAAGTAGCTGGGATTACAGGTGTGCGTCACCATGCCCAGCTAATTTTTGTATTTTTAGTCGAGATGGGGTTTCACCATGTTGGCCAGGATGGTCTCAATCTCTTGACCTCATGATCCACCCCCTTTGGCCTCCCAAAGTGCTGGGGTTACAGGCGTGAGCCACCGCGCCCGGCCAACACATGCATTTTTTAATGGGTATAATTACCATGTTAAATTTAGAAAATGCTTATATGTTGAAATTATTTGTGTAATTTCACATTATAATTATTTGGGTATATATTATACATCATATCAACTGAGTGTGTGTGTGTGTGTGTGTATATATATATATACTTATATGTATGTGCATATATTAAAATTATTATAGTATTTTGAGTTTGAAGAAACTATGTTCCTAATAGAAGAACCTCCAATGAAATTCAAAATAGTAAAAAGGCTATTGTAGATGAAATTTCTATTAAACCCTTTGTTACTCAGTTTAAATGTTTTCAGCATGCTAATAACAACATTGTAAAACTAGAAATATTTTAAATTATCTCTTTATAATTTATTTTTTACCATCCATTTTCATCACTTAGTCCTTTTGTTTTATTTTCTAGGAGATGTCTAATAATGCTTCTATTGAATTTTTCACATCTGCTAGAATGTTTTTAATTCCAAAGTTTCATTTAATTATAATTTTTTAAAGTAGCATCCTATTCTTGTTTCATGGTTGGCCTGTTGTTTCGTATCTGATACAGTTATAAAGTTTTCTTCTCCCAGCAGAAGTCTTCATTTTCTCTACATGGTTGTTTTTGTCTTGATAAAACTTTTCTCGAAAGCCTACCAATTCTAGATCTGTCTTTTCATAAAGAGTAGAATATTTAAGGCCCGGCGCGGTGGCTCAAGCCTGTAATCCCAGCACTTTGGGAGGCCGAGACGGGCGGATCACGAGGTCAGGAGATCAAGACCATCCTGGCTAACACGGTGAAACCCCGTCTCTACTAAAAATACAAAAAAAATCTAGCCGGGCGAGGTGGCGGGCGCCTGTAGTCCCAGCTACTCGGGAGGCTGAGGCAGGAGAATGGCGTAAACCTGGGAGGCGGAGCTTGCAGTGAGCTGAGATCCGGCCACTGCACTCCAGCCTGGGCGACAGAGCGAGACTCCGCCTCAAAAAAAAAAAAAAAAGAATATTTAAAAAAAAAATAAGTTATATAAGCATATATGGAACTTGTTGACTGTATCCTTTGTTGTACCGTGATTTCAGTGAAGCCAATGTCTGTAGGTATTTTCTCCTAGATTTATCAGATTCCCCAGAGAAAATTCTTTCTAGTCATTTGCCAACAGAGGGTGTGTCTGTGAACATATACACACACACCCCTTTGGATTGTATATATTTATACACACACATATACACAGTCTTCAAACTTTCTGGAAGCCCAGTGGGGTGAGAAGGATGTAGCTGGGGGTGCAGTCTCAAATTTTAGCCTGTACATTTTCATTTCATTTAATGCCGCTGTTCTTTGTAAGGTGCCTCCTCTTTCAGGAGTATGTGGCGTGCCCTAGTTCAGGAATCTTCTGATTTTCATCAGAAAAGACTTGTAGAAGTAGGGAAAGACAGCCACCCAGCTGCAAGAGGCAAGAAAGTAGATTTGGGGAACCAGTTACTTCTAAAATAGATTGACTTTCAGCCAGGTTTCCTATTTTTTAGCACCACCTTCAACCTCTGTTTCCGGAGGTTCTTGATGCTACTCGTCCCTGAGACTTTTGGAAGTTCAGCAGTATAAATATGGCAGTTTCTTGATTTTCCCCCACCACCACCTTTGGATTCAGCCTTCTTAACACTTAATTACTTATTGTCCATTTGTATTCTAGCATCCAAAAATTTGTTCGTCGTGTCTCCTTTCCCTTTTGGTAATTATGAGTACATTCCTTTTTTAAAATGACTTTGCTCTCATTTTAGTTAAGTTTTGATATCTATAATTTGAGATCTTTTGTTCTTATTGGGTTATTCCAGGTTTGTAGATTCACAAGTACTGCTTTGTCTTTGATTACAGGAACTACTTCCAGTAGCAATACAATGGTAGCTCCCACAGATGGCAATCCTGATAATAAGCCCATTAAAGAGAATATTGAAGAGAGGTAAGTACTTCTCTGTTCTTTATTAGCTGTTCAGTTTGACAGATACTGGTTGTCATCAGAATAAATGATATTTTCTGCATTGGAATGTGGATGTTGCTGTGTTAAAATTCAAGTGAAAAAAATGTAATTCCATGCTGGAAACTTTCAACATTGAGAGTTTCAACATTAAAGATGCTATCCTGCTAGATTTTTTTATATGCTCTAATGTATGAATAGGTGGTATATGGTAAGTCACTTTTTGTATTGCTTAAAGTTTTAGACCTATATGAATGTATTTACTCCACCTGTTTTATATGCCAGAATATTATTTTAGGTAGAAATAGCTGATTAAAAGTTTAAGCTTTTGGATTATAAGGTGGAAATTAATACATATCATAGTAAACTTTTGTTAATATTTTAATATTTTGTGTACTGTGTCCTTTTTTTTTTTTTGAGACGAAGTCTCACTCTGTTGCCAGACTGGAGTGTAGTGGTGCGATCTCAGCTCAACTTCTGCCTCCCAGGTTCAAGCAATTCTCCTGCCTCAGCCTTCCGAGTAGCTGGGACTACAGGCGCACGTCACCACGCTCGGCTAATTTTTTGTATTTTAGTAGAGACGGGCTTTCACCGTGTTAGCCAGGATCGTCTCGATCTCCTGACCTCGTGATCTGCCTGCCTTGACCTCCCAAAGTGCTGGGATTACAGGCTTGAACCATGGCATCTGGCCTCCTTTTTTAAACATGGAAAGTGAAATAAAGTATAAATACCATTGCACCGTCAACTGTGACTAACTTCAGTGATCATTCCCATAGCTATGTGCACCTGGACATTTACAGTGGACTGAACAGTCATTTGAATCGGCAACATCACAGACTAGAATCCCGATACAGTAGCAGCTCTGGAGGATCTTATGAAGAAGAAAAAAGTAATAAATTCCAAACGTTTTTAATATAACTATAAGGGTGAGGTGTATTGTTAATTACATTAACGTTAATAAATATATATTTTTTCAGTAAATTGTTTTTAAAAAGCGTATTTAACTGCCACTAGTGGTGTTCCAACATAATCTGAAACATCTTGATTTTAAGAAGCGACGTATTTGGGTGAAATTTTTTTAAAGCACAGGTTTCCTATAAATAAATCACAAGGAACATAAGAACTGGTTTTCAGGAAGCATCATAGAACAAATACTGGAAACAGGCTGATTTTTTTTAGCAGGATTGCTCCTTCTGCATGGATTCACATTTTCCTAAAAAGATTGTCCCTTGGCAATTGCAAAGTGAATAATCTACCCAAGTTTCACTATAACGTTAAGGTAGGGTGTCATAGAAGCACAGGCTTTCAGACTGGGAAGGGACACTGAAGATGATCTGGTCCAATCTCCTCATTTTGCACATGATGGAACTGAGGTCCAGAGAGGTTAAGTGACTTACCCATGTCACACAGAATTCACATTTCCTGACATTTTTTATTGCACCCCGCAGCCCCACTGTGGTAGAGCAGAGTTCCTTTCAAGATGGAGCTGTGTTGGCCCTATCTCAGGATATTTAGAAATGAATTAATTTACCAGAAGGCCCTTTGTTACAAGGCAGCTTCTCCAATAATGTGATCTCCTGGCTTGGACATCACTGATGGAATCATGATGAAGTGCTAATATAATTTTGCTTTGACATACAGGGTGGAACCTAAATTGATCTCTCTCTCTCTCCCTCTCCCTGGTTTGCTTAATTTGATAATATTTGTGCCTAGATTTTCCTAGCAAACATATGTTGAAATAGTGGGAAATTTTTTTTATCACTTTCTAATACTATATAAATAGTCGGGATCTTACTAGAGTTTGCTTATATTGGCAGAAATTAGATGGTGTAGAAAATGAGATCATTTTATCTTGATAGGTGATTCAATGCCACTTTATTCTAATTGGCGACTGAAAGTGATGGAGCATAACCAAGGAGAGCCACTGCCCTTCCCACCAGCTGGAGGCTGCTGGTCACCACTGGTGGATTACGTGCCTGAAACGTCATCACCTGGATTACCTCTTCACAGGTGGACTACAGCGTCATTCCTTTTACATATGCACCAAGTTGCTGCTGAACACTCTCGGCTTTCTTTGTGCTATCTGACAACACAGAATAAAAGCAGTCTTCTTTATGGAGATACTGCAACGTAGATCAGTGTGTTCTAAGAAATCTGAAAAACTCAGAGTTCTAACTTTATAAAATTAATATTATTAAATCTAATTATGCTGCTGCTTTTCTGGGTGTCTGGCATAGTTACTTGACCTTTCTGGGACCCAGTTACTACATCTAAAAAATATGGCTTTCCTATGGTAGGCACTATTATTTTGCATCGAGTTGAATTCTACTTAGCAAAATCACAATAGAGCAATTACTGCATTCTTTCAAAATGTATTAATGCACCAAACATATATTGAACACCTACTGTGGCAAGCAGTGTGCTAAGTCTCAAGGTTGAAAGATGAAGAAAATGTGGCTCCTGAGTTCAAGGAGCCCTTAGCCCTTATGTTCTGTTCCATCTCTTTAACTTAATGGTTAATGTTTTCTTCAGCTGTATTTGTTTTTCCTCCTTTTTCCTGGATAAGTTGTATTTTTCCATGAAATGTGATATTAAAATCTTCAAGTAATTTTGTACCAGATTCTCTCTAGGTTTACCAAGATCTAGTAAAACGTTAATGAAACTCTTATTAACACCTCTTGTCATAGGTGTAACATAGCAGTGATCCTTTTGACTGATCTGATCATTGATCATAGTGTGAAGGTGGAATGGGGAAGCTACCTGCATCTTCTTCTTCATGCAATTTTTATAGGTAATAAATATTTGGTTCTAATTCTTTCATTTTATATTTTTATGATAATTTAAAAGCAGTATGGTTTTATGACAGTTTTTATGTGTTTCTGTTTCCTGTTATTTTTATATTATTTCCATGATACTTTTCATTATGATTCCTCTGGTCTCTTGGGGAGTTATTTGTGGCACCTCTTCTAACTACAAACAAACATGTCTATTCCCCCCCCATTCCTATTCCTATCTTATGGTCTCGCCTGCCCACACACAAACACACATGTACTGTACTGAGGAAAAATTCTGAGGCTGTGGCAAGAGTCAAATTAACTTACCTCTGGGGATTGGGAACTTTCAGAGTGAATGAAAAGTTGAAATAGGTTCTAAGTATTTCCCAAAAGAATTGGATTGTTGGATAGCCTGATTATTACAGCTGAAACTCCATCGTGCCTTCTGTAGCAAACATGAGGAATCTGTCATATCTATAATACATTTGATGCTTATAGGATTGGCTTCCTGAAGCAAGTCCAAATAGCCATCTCCTTATAAATTTTCTTGATGTGCACACTTACTGTTGGTGTGTTACATCATTCCTTCAGTTAATCATGTACTTTCTGTTACGTGGTAAGTACACAAAAAAGCCTGCCTTTTAAAAAAAATTCATTTCCATGAATTTTTTGTGTTATGTAACAGTAATAATTTTTAGGAGATCACTAAATTTTAGACATGAAACACATTTAACTTATCTTGAGTCTCCCTAGTACTATAAGACAATAAGCTATTGTAAAAGTATATAAGAACTCTAGCACAATAAAAAACCATATAATATGTCACCTTCCTTGAAATCTTTCATATAATCCCTCCTTTTCTTCAAAATGTGAGTTTGATAGTAAGAATACTCATTATTTCTCTTTATTGATAATGTTTTTCTACCGTCCTTTTTAGGGTTTGACCACTGCCACCCTGAGGTGTATGAACATTGTAAACGTCTGCTTCTGCACTTATTAATAGTAATGGGACCCAAAAGTAACATCCGAACTGTTGCTTCTGTCCTTCTCAGGAACAAGGAGTTTAATGAGCCCAGGGTGCTTACAGTCAAACAAGTTGCACACTTAGATTATAATTTCACAGGTATTTGCCTTAAAAGTACAATTTGAAATTAGAATTATACTTTATTAATTTGGAATCCTGCATTAGAGAAAGTCATAAAAGTTGAAATACTAGAGAACATTTTTAAAATGTAGTTGTATTATTTTAAGTACCATTTAAATTATTTACTAATAAAAGAAGGAAGCAAATCTGAAATAATTGAATCTGCATTACCTTGAAGGATCTTTATCACACAAGAGTTAAGTTATGAATATGAAGTTGAAGACATAATGAAACAGTGCTTAATATTGAGGACGAATTACAAAAAAGATATTGAGCTTGTATTAGATTCCTCTTATTTGCAGGATCTGAAAACTGATAAAGTAAGGCATTTTAAATTTTGTTTTTCATGTGATTATATTTACTGCATTAAAAACATACATTTTGAAGTAGTGAAGTCCAAATTAATGAGACTTAATTTGGTTTATTTTATTGTCAGTGCTAATTTTTCTTTTTTACTTTTAAGGTATATTTTCCTATATCCTATAACTCTAACTTATTTCTTTCATCAGTACCATCAGGCTAGTGACAGGTGATCTAGAAACTTTTTTTGAAATTGAAATAAAACTACCTTTTTTTGTTCTAATCATACAGTATCAGATACAGGGTCATGAATTTTAAAGCTAGTTAAAACCCTGTTACTTGTTTAAAATCCTATAGTTAGGAAACAGTTATTAGGAAACTTATTAGCCTTTTAAAACTATGATTGAAAGAAAAATGGAATAAGTTTACTGCCTTTTTATATTAAGGCACCATTCTTCAAAATTCCATAGCTTGTTTGTTTTTAAGGCTTCTCTTACCAGTTTGTAAATATGGGCATTAGTAATAACCTTTTAACAGTTTTTTAAAAAATAATTGACGCACTATGTGTATTTCAGATAGATGAGTCTTTCTGCAATGAAAATGAATCAAAAATTATAGAAAATTTTCCATAAAAAGTTAAAAATCAGTTTATGTTATAGAAATGTAACCGACAAGCAATGTTGACAAAATATGCCAAAATATTAGGAAACTGCCACTTGCAAGTTTCTTCAGCAGATGGCGGCAGAGGACTGCACAGTACTTCCAAATTGCTAAGTTTTCAAGCTGTGAAACAATGTTTGCCCGAAACTTACTTGCTATAATTTGATGTTTATGAGGATCAGCAGGAGCACAGATTCATATCACCTTGCACTGACAGATTTCCTCATGTGTCCCATAGAGTCTATAAGGAATGACAGTTTAATTCTATAGGTATTTTGTGAGATTCTTTCATGTTTTAGGTATTCATGACGATCTTTCTCTTTCAGCAGGCATTAACGATTTTATACCTGATTACCAGCCCTCCCCTATGACTGACTCAGGGCTTAGCTCAAGTTCTACCTCTTCTAGTATCAGCTTAGGAAATAACAGTGCTGCCATTTCACATCTGCACACCACTATCCTCAATGAGGTTGACATCTCAGTGGAGCAGGATGGAAAAGTCAAAACCCTCATGGAATTCATTACCTCAAGGTAACATTGGCAGCCCTTAGCATTCCAGCAGTATGTGTTAAGTCATTCTTTCATTGGTCGGGTATTATGAGCCATATTTTTGTTTTCTGAAATGCCATTGATGTGAAATACACAGGTTTGTATTGCACAGTATTTTGAAAATTAGGATGCAATCAAAGACTTCTTTTGTGCCAGTGCAGTTATACCTCAGAAGGACTTTAATCGTATCTGGCTATTTTATGCCCAAAAAGAATGCAGTATTATCTGAATATATATTTAACTTTTATTAGCTACATTATCATTCAATCATCAAATATTTATTTATGGTCTACTCTTTGCAAGGTGCAATAAGTAGAGAAGGAATATAGGTGGGAGAAAGGGCATGATATTCCATTGCAAGAACAAAATCACAGGAGCACAAGAAAACCGTGTGTTTGGAAATGGTGAGGAATCCACTCTGACTGTAATGCAGAGAAAAGAGAGTTGTTCTAGACAATTCTGGAAAGCTTGGGAGAGTTCAAACTGGAGGGCCATGAAGCCCAGGCCATAAGGTTGTAGATTATATAGAAACTCATTAAGCTGGGGGGACAGTGGGAGGCAGCATTTTATAAATATGTGGAGAAAATCAGCCCCATAACAGTGTGGAGGATGCATTAGAGGAGGAAGGAACCAGAAGCAGTGCGTAGCAGGTTCTCAGGGCACTTTGGGCCTGTGTTAATAAAGAGCTTAACCGAGGTGGTGGCCGAGAACACAAAGTCATTTTAAAGAAAGTATCAAGTGGACCTTATTCTGTCCTAAACTTTCCCTATAGTTTTAGCTAGTAAATTATTCTCATTGCATTTCACCAGCAAATTATTTTCTTTGCATTACAATGTAAATACAGATCATATTTTGACCTGGAACACATAAGCAGTAACCAATATGCTTCTCACTTGGCAAAAGTTGACCTCTTTTTCTACTACGTCTGAGAGAATTCGACTGGTGTGATGGTAGACACTGAAATGAGATCTTTCTCTCCTTGCTGTAGATCATTACATATTCATGTGCCTAAGCAGTAGTAGTAGACTGTGACCTATTTATTCAACTACCATCCTTTCTAATTGTGAAGGCGTAATTTAGGCAAGTGTGAGTACAACTGTTAATCACAAGTGAAAATCCAAGGAAATTACATCTGTTCTCTGTTTTCAGAAAAAGAGGGCCCCTTTGGAACCATGAGGATGTTTCTGCCAAGAATCCTAGCATAAAGAGTGCTGAACAGTTAACTACATTTTTGAAACATGTGGTTTCTGTTTTTAAGCAGTCGAGCTCAGGTATCTTTTAAGAAATATTTTAAATAATATTTAATGTTAGTGACATTGTAATGTGATGCCGGTTTCTGATAATGCTTTGCAAAAAGTTAATAGTTGATATTGTGATACGTCTAAAAGTTTTAGACAAGTTTTCTTTTTAAATTTTTTAATGATAACAGATCTGTTTCCACTGAAGAAAAATTAAGTTACTACTTAAAAATGAGAATGCTGTCTATGAAATGTTTGATGGCATCATAAAATTACAATACAATTGCGTATTATGAAAAAATTACATTAAACGGACATATATAGAAATGGGAAACTTAAAAAAATTTTGTGCTGGTATAGTCTTCAGTAATGTAAAATTAACACATTCTGAAAATCATAGTCAAATTGTATTTATCTAGAGCAGTGGTTCTCAACTAGGGGACATTTGGCAATGTCTAGAGACAATGTCACAATTATGGGTTAGGAGCAAGGGGTTACTACTGGTATATGGTGGGTTGAGGCCAGAGACACTGCTAAACATCATACCCTGCTCAGGGCAGCCCTTCCAACAAAGAATTTGCTGGCTTATAAGGTCAGTAGTGCCAAGATTGAGAAACCCTGGTCTCAAGCATTGCTTCTGTAAAGATTAAAGGGCCATCTGAAATGCAAATGGAGTTTAATCAAAGAAAAAGCATTGACTTATAAAATGTGAGTGCCAGTCTGGTTTGCCAGGTAGTGTGCTAGCTACTAGCTTTAAAATGATTCACTTCTGATTATAACCCCAATAGTATTCTAAAGAACAAGAACAACCTACTTGTTTCCTTCGCATTCACAGAAGCAATTCATTTGGAACATCATCTTAGTGAAGTTGCTCTGCAAACTGCACTTTCCTGTTCTTCTCGACACTATGCTGGGAGATCCTTTCAGATTTTCAGGGCCCTAAAGCAGCCTCTGACTGCAACTACACTTTCTGATGTTCTCTCCAGACTTGTAGAAACTGTAGGGGATCCAGGAGAAGATGCACAGGTATTTCCTTATATTCTTTCAGCAGTTATTGAGCAGCTACTAGTTGTCAAGGATTTATTGTCAATATAGATTGCTATAGCTAGAGCAAGATAATGGGCATCTAGAATTATAGTCAGATGTTGAGCAGGCAAAGAATTAAGAGCCAAAGCTAATTTTATAATTTATATCTAATAACCTACTAATTAAATCGACTGTTCTAGTGCCTATCAGAAAAAGCTTTACACTCGCCCACTCACACAGCGCCCCCCCTCCAGATATTAACCTGGGATGATCACAAGGTAAAAATGATAGGAAGTTAAATTTAAATGTAAAGTGGAACATTGAATTTTATTTTTTAAGATAAGTGAACTATTGAACTAGAGAACTTCAGTTTGTACAGACAAATGGTTTTATTAACACTGTTGTAAGTATCAGGGATACAGTGATGAATGAGACAAAGTTCGTGACATTCTAGAGCTCATATTCTATTGAAGGAAACAAACCTTTAGTCTTCCAATTATACATAACATAATTTATCCTACTGATAATGTTGTGAAAATAGTAAGATGATAAGATTAAAGGAGAAGGAATTGTTTTACATATGATAGTCCATCTGAGAAGGTGATTTTTGAAGAGATACTGAAATGAAGTAGTTTCTGTTATGATCTGGGGAAGAACATTTCAGGCATAGGAAGATAGGACTAACAAGTGCAAAGACCCTGAAGCAGAAGCAGTAGGGCTTTTCTGAGGAACGTCAAGAAAATCAGTGTCGCTAGAATACATTGAAGGATATGTAGCAGGAAATTGATGAGGTAGGAAGGCTCAAATCATGTAAGGCCTAGTAAGCCCTGGTGAGAGGCAGGACTTCACTCTGAATTGATGGGAAACTACTCAGACATTTTGAGGGAAGGAAGGTGATGGATGTGATTTGTTTTTTGAAAAACTCATTCTGACATTGGGGTGAAATCTGTAGGGAGGCAAGAGTGGAGGCAAGAGAGGTTAGGAGGTTAAGAGTCCAGCTAAAATGGTGGTAGCTTAGATTAAGGTAAGTTATGGAGGTAAAGGAAAGTGGTCAGATTTTTAGTGTGTATTTTAAAAGTGATATTTTCGGTCAGGCACAGTGGCTCACACCTATCATCCCAGCACTTTGGGAGGCTGAAACCGGTGGACCTGAGGTCAAGAGTTCGAGACCACCCTGGCCAACATGGCGAAACCTGTCTCTACTAAAAATACAAAAATTAGCTAGGTGTGCAGGCACATACCTGTAGTCCCAGCTGCTTGGGAGGCTGAGGCAGGAGAATCACTTGAATCCGCAGGCAGAGGTTGCAGTGAGCCAAGATTGCACCACTGCACTCCAGCCTGGGCAATAGAGCACGACTCTGTCTCAAATAACAAACAAACAAACAAAAGTAATATTTTCAAGACTTGCTGGAGGATTCAGTTTAGATGTGAAAGAAACAAGTATGGTTCCTAGATTTCTGACCTGAGCAATTTTGAGTAAATTGTGGCACCATTACAATCAATTTATACACTATTAATTTGATGAGTTTGCATCAATCAGCAAGATCATGTTGTCAAGAGTTTAATCATTTTGTAACGTAACATAGAGTTTGTTCTATTTTAAAATCCCATTAGGAAGTCCATTGCAGTTTCTTTATTCCAGAGCATAATTAATTAAAATCTGCCTTTTTCCCTCCAGGGATTTGTGATTGAGCTTCTTCTCACATTGGAATCTGCAATTGATACTTTGGCTGAAACCATGAAGCATTATGATCTTCTTTCTGCCCTTTCTCAGTAAGAATTTAAACCAGGCAACCTAATATATAGAGAACTTGAATAGTTAACTACATATAGCTCTAACTTTTTAAATTCTAATATTGTTAGTAAGCACAATACCACCCAAATTATATGGATTACCATTCTGTGGGAGATGGGCCACAGACAGTGAGGACTTGTGAAAAATCCAAGTGCTGATTTTAGCAGTGCTGTTCTTCTTCTAATGTGCTGGTTAGAGATTTTTCTGCTGCGCCACTTCATTCCTGCCACATTCAGCATCCTATTGCTTCCCCAGCTGCCTGGGAGCCTTAGGGCTCTCCCACCTTTCACATATTGTTCCTTCTCCCTGCAGCAGCCTCTCTCCCCAGTTTCTCTGCCTTGCAAGCCCAGAATTGATTAGTCCTTCAAGTCCCGTCCCAAATGTCACTTCCTAGCTAAGCATTTCTAACTCCCTCAGGATAGTGCTGATTATTCCATCCTTTGGGTTCTCACAGTGATTTTTTCATATTTTAATAATAGCAATTAGCGAGCTATAAATTTATCCATTTACATATCTATCTCCTCTTTCAAAAGACTTGTCTAACATTCCTTCCTTTTCTGTACAGCTGGCAAACATAAAAAGCATTCAGTCAATATTTTCTTAATAAAAACTGGATGTGAGGGAGGAGGAGAAATCAAAAATTTTTGAGCTTAGTTCTTTTGAAAAGAGAGTATCATTGACAGAAATAGGGACATGAGGACCATCATGTTTGAGGATAAGACAAATGAAGTCAGCTTTGAACTTAATGTATGCCTAAATCTCAGAGCTGAATGTTGTTAACGTTGAATTCTATAGCAGAATTTTCTCAGCAAGTAGAGCCTCATCTCAACTCAAAGGAAACTGTTAGCCACAGGAGAAAAGGTACTGTTGTACATTTTGTTTGAATTTGGAGGCAAAACTGAAATTTGATTCAACAAAGTCAGGTATACTGAAAAATGATTTTTCTGGTACCAGTTACTATTTTTCAGTGTTTTCAGAAGTAAAATTAATTTAGCAAAAGTAGTGACTGGGTATGCATTCATCTATTTTTCTTTCTTTCTTAAGAACCTCATATCATGATCTTATAATGGGAAACAAGTATGCAGCTAACAGGAAAAGCACTGGACAACTCAATCTAAGCACAAGTCCCATTAATAATAGCAGTTATTTGGGATATAACAGTAATGCAAGAAGTAACTCTTTGAGATTAAGTTTGATTGGTGACCGACGAGGTGACCGGCGGCGGAGTAACACACTGGATATAATGGATGGACGGATAAACCATAACAGTAGTTTAGCAAGGACTAGAAGCCTTTCCTCTCTAAGAGAGAAAGGAATGTATGATGTGCAGTCCACTACTGAGCCTACCAACTTGATGGCCACCATTTTTTGGATAGCAGCATCTTTATTAGAATCAGATTATGAATATGAATACCTCCTGGCTCTCAGGCTTCTCAACAAACTGCTTATCCATTTGCCTTTGGATAAATCAGAGAGTCGAGAGAAGATTGAAAATGTACAAAGCAAATTGAAATGGACTAATTTTCCAGGACTTCAGCAGCTCTTCCTTAAGGGTTTTACCTCAGCATCTACACAAGAAATGACCGTGCACCTCCTCAGTAAACTCATTTCTGTCTCCAAACATACATTGGTGGATCCTTCCCAATTGTCAGGTGATGTTAATATAATTGCACCAGCACTTTGCATTTTATGTAGTGAAATGTAAACTAATCATTTGTTTTGAAATCTACTAATTTCTGCTTTTCTGCAAATAGTCATCGTTTTTATACGCTAGGTAGCTTAAATTATTTGGTGAATGCCAAAAAAGAATTAGAAGATTGAGTATCGCAGGAAATGAAAAGAAAATGGTTTCTGTGAACCATCTAAAAAAAACTTTAACTTTTAAAATAATGTGCAATAAAATTGGTTATTGTTTGCTTTTTTTTTGTTTTGATAGGCTTTCCTCTTAACATCCTTTGCTTATTGCCTCACTTAATCCAGCATTTTGACAGCCCAACTCAGTTTTGCAAAGAAACAGCTAGTCGAATAGCAAAGGTAAGCAAATGTTATGCTGAAAGATAACACTATAGGGAAATTATTTTGTAGTCTATGTTAAAGAAAGGGGAAATCTCTTAAAAATCCTTTTAATGTCACTGCCCATATGAATTTTGCATTTAAATTTTTATTTTTATGCACATAAAGGACTTGCATAGTAATGGTGTAAGTTACAACTGCTCAAATGACAGTAAATAAAATTATTTAATTAGAGTAACACTCCTCTGAGTCTGAGTCTTTTTCTGCTCTTTTTCCCTACTTTTGCCTCTCTGTCTCTCATTCATTCGTTTATTCATTACCAAATAAATATTTACTGAGCACTGGGTTAGATGCTACAAATACATGTTAAACAAAGTAGATAGTGTACTTTATCATGGGGAATGCAGTCAAGTAAGTAGACAATAACCAGAGAGTCTGATTTGGTATTTTATCAGGGCCGGGGGAGTGTGGGGGGCAGAATACTCAAGGAGCACACAAAACAGAAGTCTTGCTAGAGGAAGTGATATCTAAGCTGACTTAGATCACTATCAAAGAATGGATAGGAATAACCAAAGTAAGATCCCTGGATGAGAGGCAAAGAGTGGGGTTCAGGGTTTGAAGTTTTCTAGACAGAAGAAATTATAGATGCAGAGGTTCTGAGGAAGAAGAGGGCATAATATATTTTAGGATTTGGGAAGTTCTCTGTCCCTTTTTGTTTGCCTTTTTTCCTTTTAACACTCTTTCTCTTCATCTTTCTCTACTCCATTCTTTTTTTCTTCCTTATTTGGCTCTTTTACCTTCAAAAATCATACTGTTTTAGAAGCAGTAATGTAGCTATTTGTAAATCATCTGTTAACATTTGTTTAAAAGTATTATGACTCTTAACCTTAATGTTAGAAGAATGTGATTTTGACATTTTATTTTTTTTTGTAAATCATCTGTTCACATCTGCTTAAAAGTATTATAGCTCTTAACTTTAATGTTAAAAGACTGTGATTTTGACATTTTATATTTTTAGTAGTCCCCTCTCAAGAACAATAAGGAACTCTCAAACAGCCTGTCTTTTGCTTAAATATAATTCATAACTTTTTTCAGTCAGTCATTGAGTCTGGAGGAAAAAAGGCTTTTCAGACTGAAAATACGAACAGTTCTAAGAGGGAGTTATATAAATTTACAGGTAGCATACATATAATAGGAAATCTGGTGAACTTGGGGAGGTGAGTGAATAGGACGATAAGTAAGAGAACTTGGCTAAAGTACCGGGAGGACAAAAAAAAGAAGTTTTCTACAGAAGAGAACAAGCAAATAAAATCCCCAGAAAAAGCTTTTTATGTAAGCAATTTTTTTAAAAAAAGCTGAGATTTGATTAACAAGTAGCACAGCAAGGAGAAAGAGCAAGCGTGCAGGAAGCCAAATAAAACCCCCACCTTTCCATGGCCCAGGTTGTAGCACTGCTAAGTGCACATTTATCTCCAGGTGCCAGCATAGTAAAGAAAGAAAATACTGGCAACCCAGTGAATCCCATTAGCAGTAGTAAGAGTAAGAACCTTTTCACGTCTTGATAAATAACATTTAATAAATGATATGAAAATATTTAATAAAATATGCCCTTAACACCATCCCCAATTAAATTTCTAAAAAAATTAGATAGGGAAAAGTTCTTAATACAATTATTCTCAAAGCATATATTTTAGAAGAGCTATTATTTTAGCTAATGGAAACATCTTCATTTCTTTAATAGAAATGGTGGTGGGAGGAAATAAGCCAAAAGTTGTCTTTTATTCTTGATTTTTATTAAACTAACCCAATAGAACATTAAATATCAAGAGAGGGTGAAAACTATGACTATTAGAAATATTGCCTTTTGGAAATGATTACTCATCTAAAACCAACTGCCTGTATTTGCATTAATAAAGTCTGATAGTAATACAGAATTTATTAAAGAAACTTTCATTTTAATATTTTAATGACACATGATTAGAAAATTTGTGTAAACGAAGTTTTTTGCCCTATATGAGGGGTTGGAAAGCAAATATAAGGGGGGAAATGTATATTGGTTTACTTGGGGGTTTCAAGAAAACAAAAGGCATAAATCCCCTAAAAAGGAAAGTAGAAGCATTTAAAAGTAGCAACTGGAATGCGTTAAATGATTACTGCCTGCTAAATGCTGGGATAACTAAGGAGTGTGGCCTCCTAGCCTAAAGGATGTTATAGCTCCTTGAATATCGAGCTGCTGATATCATGACCACAGTAGGGCCATGGAAATTCCCAAATTTCTTTTATGTTTTTAAGAAATCAGATATGGTCTTCTGTGATTCATAAATTGTTTTTAAGTCTGTTTTCTTCCTGTTGGACAGCACACAAAGGTTCCCTCTCTGTATGCTTTTAGCAACCTGCAGGATGTGAATTAAATTGGTTCCTTAATTACTCTCTCACTTATAACTGTCAAGAGTAATTTTCTGCCATTATGTGCTCCTTCGTTATGCAAATATCCCTAGTTCTACTCTTTGTGCCTTTGGAGAGCACAGAATTTCAAAATGAGGCAACACTTAGGACAAATATTTTTCTCTTTAGTGATTCATTATGGCAAAAATAGTATGCTAAAAAGGTTAGTTATAAAACACTCTTTTTGGATCATATTTTAACCTGGCATTTCAAAAATTCCAAAATTAAATCTGTCACTTGTTCTATTATTAAATTCCACAGTATATATTCCAAGGAATTTTCTCCCTTTTCAAAAAATAGGTTTTTTAAACTCATTCCTTAAAACAATTATTTAAGAGTATAAGAATTCTCTAAGAATGTTTTATTCTTCAGGAAAGTTTTTTATGTTTTAAAGAATTAACAAATTGTGAAGTTATAAAGTTATGTGATTTTTAATAATATGTTAAATTATTATATTTTGAAATGCAAATAAGAAATACTAACCCATTTTTTCTTTTTCTTTCTGGTGTCTGTTTTATGGGTAAAAGACTACTGCATGAAATCAGCTGGTTTTAATGATTTTATAAAATAACTTCCCAGGTACTACTGGGTTAATAGTCTATGCATGACGTTGCATAACCTTTATATTTTGTGCTTGTTCTATAGTAGTGTCCAAATGATGAATTTGAGGCACTCCAAGCCTATTAAACATCTTCTGAATTACCAAAATTAGTGATATTCATTTGAAAGTTGAAGATGTATATATTTAAAAGGACAGCTTCCTTACCAAATGCTGTAGGTAGTTGTAAAAACACATACAAAACATCAATAAGGTAGAAGAACAAGGAAAAGGCAAACTAAAAGCAGAAATGGCAAGGAGGCTAGCCTTTTATAACAGATTGGTATGTAAGAGTAGCATGGCCCTTTTCCAGTTCTGCACAGCCCAGGTATCCCCTGAGAGAGGCCAGGGAACATCCTCACCAATAACCCAGGAAACAAACTGACTTAAGAAGTGCGTTAGGTCAGTAAAATTCCCCCCAAACATTAGTTGGTTCAGATTCTTTAACATTGTATCAAACAAACTTGAGAGTCAGTACATTTTGGAGTAGCCTCTAAAAGATTGACCCAGGATCTTAGAGCAGCTTTAGGTGATTTCCTGAAAAGCAGTTTGGGGTCCACCATGCAGATAGTCATCCATTGGAGATTCTGGACTCCAAATTTTATCAGAGCCCCAATGATGTCCTGTGACTATGTCACACATGTTGAGGCTGTTTGCAACTGACTGCTCTACTGAGACACCCCAGACACAGCTGGAGGCTGAAGCATTTCCTCCCAGTCACAGCAGTTCGGAACCTCCCTGAGAATTCCCTAGTTGTGTCTGCCTGTGTAGGTGCTTGTGCACTGATCCATCCTGGATTTGACAAAACAATTCCAAAATGATGTCCCGAGTTCACAGAAACCATACATGGTTTCTGCCAGAGACAGTTTACAGATCTTCAGACTGAAGAAGGCCATACTATTTAGTACCCACAAAGACATTAATCCTCTTTCTATATTATCTCTTACTAGTCTCTGAAGAATGCCTTGTGCTTTTTTCTCATTTCACTTTTCTAACGTATTGAAGTAAAATGCATTAAAACCAATATACATCTAAATTATTTCATTAAGCAAATACATTTAGCATAAAATCAAGTTAAACTTGTGTCTTTATTTTAGGTGAATGAAGTAATTTTATTTGTTTTCTAGGTTTGTGCAGAAGAAAAATGCCCAACACTTGTCAATCTGGCACACATGATGAGTTTGTACAGTACACACACATATTCCAGAGACTGTTCTAACTGGATCAATGTCGTGTGCAGATACCTGCATGACTCCTTCTCAGATACAACGTTTAATCTTGTGACTTATCTTGCAGAGGTAAATTTACCTAAAATATTTTCTTATTTACTATAT